AGTACAAGCTTGTTAACCCCCATCCAGTCCCTAACAGCCTCGAGGCCCTGGCACATCACGTCCATCGCTTCATTGATGGAAATTATTAATGGACAAGCTAAAATACACATTTGCTGATCAGCACTTCTATTAAAGGGCTTTAATAATTAACCAGCCAATGTTTCAAATATATTTTCTTACCAGGTTCCTCAATGCTTTCATGGCAGAGTTTGTAAAGTACTTGAAAACTTTTTAAAATTTCAGGAAGATATTCAAAAACCTACCTGCTTTGAAAAGTCAATCTATGTTGAACTGTATAGCACTGTCAAACATCAGGAGTTGACCACAGGAATGTTTTATGACATTCTGTATTACTTTTTACTTCATAAAACGGTTTATAAAATTTGCCAAATGTCAACTTCATGGGAACATGGGTTCCAGATTTTCAACACAGTCTGAGAGTTATCCCCTTTGAGGTACTCAGATGGAAAACTAATTGTCCTATAAACACTTTCACCCAATTAAAAGTTATGAGAGAATAACAGTTTTAGTACTATACAGCTAGGACAAATGACTGAAACGCACACAAGAAGGAATATATATTACCTTTCCCTTTCTTTTGAGTGCCTGGTGTCAGCTTGACTTTGTATCTTAAGAGAAAAAAACAAGCATGATTTTAATAGGAAGATAGCTTTCTCTGGGCAGGTACACCAATACCAATAGTTGATGACACTCACTTGTAACCGGCCATGGCAGTGTAAGGTGCACAGACTGGAACAGCAAAGAGGAGGATGTCTTCCTGGTGAGGCTGCCCAGTCAGAGAATCAAGCAGAGCTGTCCCCTCCTGGATACAGCAAAGGATGAACATGGTGAAATCATACGAAGGGAAACTGGAGACTGACCATGGATGTTCAGCTGCTCTCACTACAACAGGGTGTGCTTATTTTGCAAAGAGGTGTTATTGTCCATTAATATTGTAACTGATTGGACTGCAAAGCAATGCGGCATTGGTGAGTCGTGGTGGTGCAGTAGTTACTAGAGTACTGCAGGCTATTTCTGCGGACTACCGGCTGCCAAAAGTTTGGCAATTCGAATCTCACCGGCTCAAGGTTGACTCATCCGTCCATCCTTCCCTTCCATCCTTCCGAGGGGGGTAAAATTAGGACCCAGATTGTTGGGGGCAATATGCTGACATTGTA